CCCCCCCCCCCCCCCCCCAAGTTTTGCTTTCTCGCGACACCCGTGACCCTAGCATTTTGAAGGAGAAAATTTTTCCACCTCCCAAAGTTGAAATGGTCGGGGCACTCGTGACAGCCAAGTTATACAAGTAGTTATTTTTATTTAAAATATTAGTCAAACTGTGTGACAGACGGAATTTTCTAATGAAATTTTAGTTTACTGAATCTAACAGATTTTTCTTTTACTCCTATTGGATAATTTAGTAGCAAAATTAGTTGGATTTTTAGTGGTTCAAAATTTGATGTCATGAAATCTGCTTCCCAAAGAACTTACTTTGTGCAAAGAACATCTTCAAGTCGAGCACCTTGACACCGTTGACATTCTGTCCATAGACGAGTAAATTTTTCTTCTAATTCTTGTAGTGATTCAATTTCTTTTTGATAATAATCACCTTCTTTTTCTTTACAATATGAACATAGAGCAGTACCTATAATATGAAGTACGTATTGTTACATTTCAATTCCTGATATAATCTCAAAAGATTTTCTTTTTTTTTGTTTACCTTGCTCCTGTAATACAGTTTTACATCCAATACATTTATCTTTTTTTGTAATAAAACTTGCTAAACCTCCAACTTTCGATGTAACCACTGTTTTTACTGTTGTATGTTCACCATCTAAAATAATCATAATCAAAATTAATTTTTAAAATCCATTTACTATAAAATAGAACATCAATTTACGTAAAAGTATGGATTCCGCTTTCGCATCACCCAAAATCGGTTCAAATATACGTAGTAATGGTTTTGATATTTGTTGTTCAAGATAGTATTTTGTATCAATTGGAACATTATTATCTAATACATAGACAGGATCCTAAATGATAAATAATTTATTGCTTATATCTCTTGTTAAAGCTCAACAAACATCTTTCAGTGTATTACGAGGATAGTTTAGTGATAGCTGTTTGCGCAATTCTGATATCCATAGTCTTCACAAGACAATTGAAGCAAAATACTGTATGCAGTTCTTTTTTATAGAATTCTCTATTAAGATCTCCTATCTATAATTATCAAGAAAATAGCTTACTTCTGCTCGCTCATAAGCCGGTTGATTTTTTGTTCCTGGTATAATGACATAAGGAACTCGATCACCTAGATTAGGCGCACTACCAGGATCACGTTTACGCATTTTATGTGCTAATTCAGCATGCGGTTGTTTATTAGAATATTCGCTGTCGGTTTTTGTTAATTCTTTACTAATAACTAATTGTGATATATCAATACGATTGCATAATAAATCCGAAATAACATTTTTAACATATTCAACAGCACCATTTGGATCTCTAATAAAACAAAAAGAAAGATTTTGAAGAATAATTAAAAGGAATAGAATTTCAAACCTTTCAATGAGTAATTTTATTAAACATGTACTGATTAAATTAGAAACAAGTTCACAATTGTCACGTCGTACAGTTTCAATACCTTTACAATCCATTTTATCATGCTTATCTGGACGTGTAAAGTAAAGGCCAGCATAACGTTTTTTATTAATCAATAAATATGGATAGTAGCATTTTTCAAATTCAAGTTTAATAGGTGACGGAAAACTCGACGAAACAGTTGTTGCTGCTAAACGACCAAGTTTCATGGCTTCTTCTAATGTTTTAACTCCGAATTTAATCATAACTGAATCTGTATCACCATATATAACTTTTGCATCATGTTCAAAGCCTTTACTCATCGTAAATTCACTTTCAACTAAAGCTTTCGTTTTCTCGATCATTTCACGACCAAATGATGTTACTGATTGAGATATTTCAAGACACGGCAATTTACCCACTTGTGCACCAGTAAAACCGTATACTGAATTTGCAGATATTTTCAAAGCATTTTGGCGACCATCAAGAACTTTTTTACGAAATTCATCAGTTTCTTCTTTCATCATCTGAACAAATAAAACATAGATTATGATCATGATATTTATCAGTTATACATACTTGTTTGGCTCGTTTACGAGCACTCAATAAATTTTCAAGAATTTCCGGTAATAATCCACGACGAACTTTAGCTGTTACGAAACAATTACCAGTTGGTGTTGTAATATATTCATCTTCAGCTAGACTAAAAACAAACAAAGAAATAACTATAGAAGCATTTGATTTACTATTTCTTCTTGATTAAAATAAAATCGATTTTTCCTTTGAAAAAGATATCATGGAGTTCTCTCTCAACTTAGTTTAACCAAATCTTGAAATTAAGAGTGTGCAACACGAAAGAGCCATCTGTCGGTATCAATTTAGTTTTTGAAATCCGACAAATGTTAACAAGCAATGATCTTTACTTGATCTTCTTACATCGGCATTCGCAAAAATCTTTTTATTCCTATGCTAGAAGTATTTCGACTTTAAATCAATTGATTCTCGAACTCATCTAATAGAAATTGAATATGAAAGAAAAATGAAAACTTACTTCTGTTTCATTCTTCCATCAGTAATCAATGTTGAATAGCACAAATTATGTGCCTGCATAATCGATGGATACAGAGATGAAAAATCCAGTGTTGTTATTGGTGTATCATAATAGCCACGTATCGGCTCAATAACTGTAGCACCGATAAAGTCATCACCTGTTTCATTGATTTTCATTGCTGGTATGAGTAGATTTTTTTCTTTACATTTTCGTAAAATTTGTGAAATAACTTTTATTTGTTGACCACGTTGAAGTAAATAATTCATGGGCACACCAGTAACACGAGCCATTTCCATATAGTTAATCAATGACATTAGTTTTTCTAATAGACGCAGCGGTAAATAAGCATCTTTGAGACAATATACAGCAAGACGATGGCGGGTTTGAGCATTACCATTCTTTTCACGAAACAAAATAATTATTCAAAAATAGAAAATAAATTCGAATTTACTTGTAAGTCAGTTATAATTGAATGTTGTACGTCTTCTTTTTGTTGTTGAAGAAAATGATAACTAACAGCATTCAGTGTATATGAACGAAGTTTATATTCACGAAGTAGAACCTAAAAAAGAATGAAAGTCTTTTTTATTAATTCGAATGCTTATAAATCTCATATAAAGAATTTTAATGATAATGACGAATGTTGAATTTAGTATTCAAAAATTTGAGGTTTCCAACGCTCCGGTTGACTAGAACGGTGAAAATTCTTACTCAATAGAATGCAGCTATTTTCTGAATATATCTTTCTCGATACAAGGATATGAAAAATCAGTAGAATTTTTTCATTCGCATACTACCGCAAAACTGGTGTATGATGCAATTTTAAATAGAAAAATATTTACCAATAAAAGATCAAATAAAATTCGTCCTTCTAAATTAATTTGTTTATTTTCACGTCGTCCTAATTGTTTCGATTGAAGAACTGTTACACGTGCTGTTGTTTTAACATCCTGAAAAAGATATTATTATTATTATTCTCTCCGACAAATATCTTCTTTATAAATACTTTTAAACGTCCCAAATAGGGAAATGTTGGAATATTCAAAGTTTTAGCACGAGCAAGTAGATAAGAAAAATCAAAATTTTGTATATTATATCCAGTAATAATATCCGGATCAACTTCACGCACGAAATCGGACCATTTCTAAATAGAAAACATATTACGAATGGATATTTTAATGAAAACAAAATAATTCTATTTCAACCTCAAGTAATTCATGTTCGGTTCTACATTCAATAACTTCGACACCAGCAATATTTGCACATGTACCCAATGTAAACACAGTCTTAATAAATTCTTCTTTATCGCCTTGACGAATAACCATGCTAGCTATTTGAATAACAGGATCATGCTCAGGCTCAGGGAAAATACCTATAAAAGCAAACATTTCAAAAGTCATTTTTTATTGTCGAATTTTTGACTTTAAACCTTTTCGTCCGGCACATTCAATATCATAGCTCATTATACGTAATGGAGCAATACGTTGCCAATCACCTTCAGTGGGATACGAAATAATATCGTGTGCCCATACATCGACTTCCATTTGGCATCTATATATTTTCAAGCAAAATAAAATCAATAAATCAATATCTGTGTTATTTGTTTTCTTCGAACCTCGAGTGTATTTTTAATTGATGCGTAATACCACGTGTTACCATCTCTCTTATAGAATATTTTCCAGCTGGTATTTCAATCCAATTACAACCGACCATATTCAAATCTGCCATAAGACTTAAATAAGAAACGTGAGTTTTTAAATTTTTTTCGAAAATAATTAATACCGAATTTCAAAATCAATATTTGTTTCGAAAGTTTTATAACCATCCAATTGAGTTTTATTGCCCGTCCATGAAAATCCGCCTTCAAGAATACGTCTTGATGTTGCAATGAATCTTGGTAATAAGACACATATTTTAAGTACTTGTTGTCGTTTTGAATCCGCTTGAAAGCCGTATATACTTGATTTGTGTTCTAGTTCAACACTAAGTACGATATCGGATGCGATGGTATCTTTACCACGCATTTCACTACGTAATGCTGCATGAAAGTTTTGCTAATTTAAATGGAAAAAAAAAATGGTAAACATTTTTATTTTCATAAAATCAACAAAATTCTTACTTTAAATCGTTCACAATCAGCTGCTGTAAACGTCTCTGATGGTAATGATGCATAGAAATATGGAATATAACCATGTAAATGTGCCATTATAGAATGACCCTCATCAGTAACACCATAGAGACGTATAACTGTATTGTGACCGTGAGCATGAGGTCGACTTTTATCGAGAATATTAGGTGTTCCATCGGTATCCGTGTAAGTATCTAAATCAATTTGTTGAAATACAAGTTTCTCTTTCAATGGATCTATCGATGGAATATCTGGTCGTGACCATTTAACATTCGTTGGTTCATAAGCTGGACCATGTCCTGTTGAATAAGAATCAAGAGATAGTATTTTAGAAAAAATGATTCACTGGGAATTTCTTCTTACCCAGTTCAATTGCGTTTTCTTTATTTTCTAGATCAGCATCATCGAAAGCAGGATCATCGTTCCCAAAGTCATCATCATCATCATCGTTTGCTCTATAAAAATTCGTTTGAATTAATATCACACAATTTTTTTCTAAAGTATTTCTCTCTCCTCGAAAGTTGTATAAAGCTCTATAGTCTTCTTGTATATGAAAAAGATTATCTTACCGTTTCGGTCGTTTGATTTGTGTACCACTCGGTGGTGGTGCTGCTGAATTTTGACCTGCGAATGATTTCCGTTTGAAATTATTTGATGTGCTCATCTGAAATTATGAAAAAGCAATGCGCATGTAACGGTGAAATGCGTGCATGACTACAATGCATATAAATACGAGAATACCGTAACAATCAAAGAAATTCATCGGCTTTGTCCTTAAAAATGATGATCTAAGTCAAGATTAGTCAATCGATAATATGCTGTGAGAGGAGAACAAAGATTCAACGAACAAATAAAGACTAATAGTAAAAAGGTTTGAGAACAAATAGAAAATGTGGAACAAGATAATTCTTTTAAAAGATGATTGTTCAGTTTTAATTACAGTATTGAATATTTTTCTGTATGAATTTGTAGAGGAAGACGTTCTGTATCGAATGGTGTGCGTATTATCAAGTTGAATTGTGTCAACTTCGTATATCGGCAGAGGTCATTACCTACTGGATACTTTCGGGTAAAAAGATATATTTAAATGAAAAAGATGGCGCTTTCTTCTGTTCACATCTCAACAGCACACAACATGATAGTGAATATGCTCTGAATTATAGGATGTCTTTTTATACTGCAAAATTAGAAGATACTTTGATTAAATTAAATTAAAATAAAATTTGACGCATTTGATACAAACTATTAAATGTCACGGCAGTATTTCGAGCGAGTTACTAGTCCATTGGCAGAAGATTTTCACACGTCTTTCGTTATTCATGATGAAAGAGAGTTCATGAACGCAATCAGCACGATTTCGTGTACCTCTGCCTACTGTCTCGACAGTCTTTTGCTGATGAAGTTTTTACAAGGGAAGTAAACAAAAGAGTCAGAAGAACACGTACGAAATGCTACATCCCCCATCATCCTCAAAAGGTCGCAAATAGAATTCATAGACTTTGTTCACGTTGCTCTTCGAGTTGTCTAGTTTTTCCCAAATATTAAGATTATCAGTTGCAATAAAAACTGACGTCCTCTAGTTGTGTTGTATGAAGAGGAAAAAGTCGACTCAGCAATTATCTCGGCATCAAATTACTTTCAAAGGATGCATCATATAAGAGCTGACAATTAAAATTCCAGTATGATTTTAAAAATTTTGACGAGTCGCAAAAAGCTGTTAGTTTTAAATAAACTAATTATTGATCATCAAAAATTCCGTAAAAAGAGAAGAATAGATGGAACATGTTCATAAAATCAATGAACTTTCTGATTGTATGCAAATAATATCAAGAAAAACAAAACAAAACATCATATGACACTTGAAAATATCTGAACTATAATAGATCGAGAGTAAGAAAAGTGACTAGGCACCATCTGATGAAGTATATAAACAACAGAGAAAATATTTTTCACGTTTCTCGATGGGATGAGCACGTTTTGCATAATAATCAAGTACGGTTTTTTGTGCTGCTGATGGATCTATCCAATGAACTTGACAATATGGACAATTAGTTGCTTTTCCTTTGGTATGTTTCCATTCGTTCATACAAGTTTTATGCATCGATTTACCACATGAATAAAAACACGTAACCAATTTCTTATTTTTTATAATTAAACGTTCAAAACATATTGGACAAACATCTTCGAAACCAATGGATTGACGTTTAAAGCTTAACACTAAATTTTCTTTTGTATCTAATTGTAATAATGGTGAAGTAACTGAACAAAGTCGACGAACTTGTCCTTGAAAAATATATTCTAAATCAGCATTCGTAAATTGATGATGTTCCATGATTGCAAGACGAATATCCAACGAATGAAGATCCACATTAAATATACGTTTGAGTACAAAAAGAAAATGTTTACAAACGTTATTCTTTCTAAAGGTTTTACATGAACACGATGATTCATAACTAATTATAATTTTACATCGATGACGATTATACGTAGAGATCAAACATTCAAATTGATCTGACGATGGAAATTCATGTTGAATCAAATAAAAGCTTCTTATTAACATTTTACCAAGTGCTTTATCAAAAATAATGTTTCGATCATTTGATAATATATCTTTTTTGATAGAATCTTGATATTGAGAACATAATGACTAAAGCAACTTTTAAATATTTAATAGCTATTTTGATTTCTTTTAAATTTCTTACAAGTGCTTCTTGTTTATCATCTGATGACGATGATAATGAACCGATGTTTTCATGTATTGCACTATCTTGCAGTCGTGCTCCTGAGCTCATTGTAAAAATAAATATCTCAAAAAGTAAAATGCCGATCGATTGATATACCACGACTATAGAGAAAAAATTAATATTTCAAGCAAAAAAACGTTTTTATTTCTATTAAAACAAAAGAAAAAGGAAATGAAATAACAACTAGACTGGAAAATTTTCATTCTGTTGATCTAATACAACAAGAGCATGTTTGAATCGTTTGCATATAATATCCGGTCCGAAAAAACTCGCTATTTCATGAACAGGCGGTCCTTGTAAACAGCCACATAGAACTAAACGCCATATACGAAACACTTCTTTATTATTTATTTTATTTGGCCGATAGTTTTCAATGAATTGTTTGATATCATCGTGCGTAAAATGAATTTGATTTAAATTATCTAATGTATATTTGATAACAAATTTAAATTGTTGAACATCATGAATTAGATCTTTTTTAAGTTCTGGATCTTTCCATAAATATTCGTATAAATTATTCGTAAATAATTCATCAAGTAGAACAATACGAAAATCGATCATAGTCAAAATTTTTTCAAGATAATCATTTTGTAATTGCATAGAACTTGTAGAATTTTTTTCCGGAAAATAATGAAGCACGTTTTGACGAAGTTCTTCAATGATCTTTTGACGGCCTTCTTTCGATGTTTGATATTCACGTTTAAAATGCGCTCGTTGGCAAACAGCTAATTTTTTAAAATCAACTATAGCTGCATGTCGACTAAATAATTTTATATCAAATAATGATACCATTTCATCAAGTGTTTTTCCTATAACTGTATCATCATCTTTAAAACCGCCACCACCACATAGAATTATAAAATTTAATACAGCATTTGGAAAATAACCTTTTTGACGATAGTAATCGATTTCAATTGGATTGTGAGCATTCTCTGCATCACGTTTAGATAATTTTCTTCCACGTTCACGTTCAAGTAATGGTAAATGACCGTATCTAGGTGGTTGCCAATTGAATGCTTTATAGAGAAGTAAATGTTTCGATGTTGACGTTTGCCATTCATGACCACGAAAAACATGACTAATTTCCATTAGATGATCATCAACAACATTTGCTAAATGATATGTTGGAAAACCATCGGATTTCAGCAGAATAAAATCTCCTTCAGTAGCATAAGGATTATGTTCATGATGACCATAAACAAGATCATCATAAATTTGAATTCCTTTGTCATCAGTTGGCAAAGAAAAACGAATGACATGTGGAAGACCTTGCTGAATGTATTCATCTAAAGAAAACGGGAATTTCATTTTCAATATGAGAAAAGCTCTCAACGGTTAAACCTACGTTGCTGTTTTTCACTTAATTCTTTACAGCGTCCATCGTATCTGTATGGCTGTGAACGTCGTTTACATTCATGTCTTAAAAGCATCAATCGATCAATGGTACAAAAACATCGATAAATATGTGGTTGATTTTGATGATTTAATTTTCCGAATAGCGTGACTAAATGTTTTCGATAGAGTTCAACACGTTCAGATTGTATAACAGCTGGTTCGTCCGGTTTTATACGAGCCCATTCAAGTCCAGATTTTATATGTTCAGTTGAACCGGGTACTATACGCTCACGATCAGTATCTTCAATACGTAGGAGGAATTTTCCGTTAAATGATTTTGCAAATAAAAAATTATATAAAGCTGTACGAAGACCACCAAAATGAAGTTGTCCAGTGGGGGAAGGAGCAAAACGAACACGAATAGAAGACATAGTAGTTATTGTTTAGTGGATGCTGATGACGAAGCAACAGTAGTACGTTGAATTTTTTGCATACAACGACGAAAATCTTGCATTTCCGTTGAACACTGTCGCCAATCTTTCTTTTCAATATAACAGTCTTGGAGTTTCTCGTGAAACTTAAAACAACCGGTTTTACGAATAGCTGATGTTACGTGATCTTCGTCGTCGTCGTCACCTGCTGCTGCTGCTGTTTGCTTTTCTTCGGTTTTGTTTTTCGAAGGTGGATCAAGAATAACAGTTGGCATGAGAAAATTTGTTTTAGTAAATCGTACAAACGAATTTTTATACAAAAATATAAACCAGATTTTCTTCTATTTTCCTATTCGTTATAAAAAAAAATCCTTTAAAGTAAACTTTCTATTAAAAAATATTTTTGTATTATTTTATTTATTTCACTCAAAAATCTGTTTATTATTAAAAAATATTTATTCGTGATGAAATTAAGATGTCGCCATAAACCAGCAGTAATGTGAAAAATATACAACTGATCACGTTTCAGAAGAATCTAAGCTGACTGGCTCGGAATAATAGATATTTTACGTGAGACATAACCATAGTTCCTTATACTCTATTGAAGAAAGGACGATAATACAATAATTAGTGTTATTCAAAAGATAGAAAGGAACCTTTCCTTTTTGCAAGAGAATTATCTAACAACGATAGAGATAGTAGCGAGAATGGCACATTTCATCCGATCAGAACAGCTGAAAATTACCGTCAAAGAACTTATGAACATGTCTATCATTCTATAGTTTGATGAACGTAATTTGTTTTTCGATGCGAAACATGTGGCACATAAGTTATTCACATCAGACTTATATTATAATGTATCGAACAAATATCAGTGAGCCCAGTTGGATTTATCAATATGAATATAGATTATTTTAATTTTATTTATTCTTTTCGAATAGAAAATATGTATCTTCCATTAGAACGAACAGCTAGTTATTTATGAGTTGAACTTGATCTTAGTAGAGAAAAAAACTTTCCTTAAAGCAAATTCAACTATTTAGCTGCTAATATTAATCAATACAAGATATTTTTCCTTGAAGTTTCACGAGGACATGAATCAAAGCCGATGTATCCGGTTCTCAAGTTTTTTCTCTCACTACCACGAACAACACTCAATTACATAGAGATATTCTATGATTAATATCTTCGCTCATCTGATTAGATAAGATTTCATAACGAAATTTAAACTTAACATTCGACTAATTCAGTTGATGAAATAGATCTAAATTCGAAATTAATATTTCTAATCAGACTCGATAAATCTATTGCAACATTGAATTATCTGTTATGATACTAGAAAATGAATCGTTATTGAATCTAAACAATTCAATTGTCAGTAAATATTGATGTTGATCAATTTTGATTATAAAATGCTTAGTTTAACACCAATTCGAAAATAAACAATATTAATCGACCTTGACAAATTCGTTTTTTTTTCTCCCAAAAAAACAAATCTATGTTTTTATTTTATCACTGTAAAAAATAAGACATGAACAAAATAAAATAAAACTTATCAACATTGACTAATAATGAACAAAACTAGTATTAATAAAAGCGATGTTGATAATTGATATGCTTGATTTTTCCGTGCCAGTACTCCAGTTTTAATTGTATTGGATGTTATATATGAATAGTCAGCATGACGTTTAGCTATTGAACATAGGAGGAAAAAAATGTATAGTAAAAACTCGAGCTACTGAAATATAAACTTACATGCGTCATCATCTTCAGCGCTCTTTATCTTTGCGAGTGAAGTTGTAACGATCGATGATGATGATAATGCTGTCGAAGGACGACTTTCTGTTATATGTTTTACATATTTAGTTGATTGAGCTAACTCTAAAATTAATAATAATGTCAATCGAGAAATGATTTGACAACTCCTCAAAGTTACCTTTAATAGCAAAGTCAGCATGAGAAATACCGATGGAATTTCTAGCACGACAAACATATGCTCCAAATAATGAAGAATCACTTAACTATATATCGTAGATAATAGACATCAAAAGAATGCATAAGTATAGATGATAATATTCAATCTCAATCTTACATATAATGTGATTGTGAGTTGTCGACATGTTTGATTTATAAATTCATCGAATTTATCTTTAACGCCATTTATTATAGGTGTTACTTGTTTCGGACGAAAAAAATCGAATAATGTTGTCGATGGTAGTGAACAAGCACGACATGTAACTGTTACTGAATCATATAAACGGAAATAAGATAAATGAAACGGAACCATGACTGTCGGTTTATCTAAATCACAAATATTCAGGATGTAGAAGTAAAAAGAAAACTTGAACATACATTTAACATGAAGAAGAAATTGGCGATTGACAGTGCTCAATGTATTACTTGCTGAACAATCGACTCGGCCCGAATCGAACCGTGATACATTACGTAAGATAAGAATGCTCTCATTTTTACCCGTAACTAAATATATAAAGACGCATATGTGACAGGATGTCAATTTTCTTTGCTTTAAACTTTTGGCATACTTGTTGTAACTGTGGCAGGCCTCAATACTCCATTGACATGCCAAAGAATAATGGGTGTTGGTCGACCGGATGCTGTACAAGAAAATCGAGCATTATGACCTTCACGAATCGTCTTTCGCATATGTTCCGGTGAATGCGAAATGATTCTAGGCGGCACTAAAAAAATTATAAATAGATAGTTAGAAGAAAACATAGAACGTGTCAGATAAAATCTTGTCTCAAGATGGTGTTCATCGATCTAACTAATGTGATGGACGTGACTTAGAATCAATGTTGACTCATCAACACCATTATCGACTGCACATATATGTATTATGATCAAACACATACATATATATATATATATATTCATTTTCTATTTAACTCGTCGATCACGTTAATTTCTTTGTTACGTTTATTGTTGTCTAGAGCACGACCTAATAATAGACTTTTTCATTTAATGCTTCATCAAATGATCATTTTCTTGTCTTTGTTTTGTTGTGTTTAAGGTGTGGATATCATACTTGAAAAACAATTAGCTTATGCCCAGCTGCTTTTGTACGTTCTTCTAGTATGAGCAACCCTTCCCTATCACACTCATTGACATCGCACAAGAATACAAACGCACATATATTTAAGAGAGAGAAAAAAAAATAATAGATTCAATGGAGTGGACAATCACCCAGAAGATAGATTACTAAAAACAAACAGAACAATGAACAGTCGATGTAGAACAGAAGAAGAAAATAGTAATTTGTACACCTTCGAGGCAAGCCGTACCATTCATTTCAATATGATTGAAGTGAAGGTTATTACTACTACGTACTGACACTATTTAAATGACTTCCTAGAGAATTTTCTTTTTGTCTATCGAAGAGAAAATCATACCTATCCATTGATGGCGGAAGTAAACGACCAAAAATTCTTACTTATTTTCTCAAGTCCGGAAATCGAGTATAATTGAAAAAGGTGCTAATCAATATCATTGAATCAATTGCATTTTTTTTCTTCTTCTGCGGCATTGTAAAGGTATATATCTGATAATATCTCTCTATTGTAGTATCTAAGAAGGAGGGACGACATGCAAACATTAACAAAAAAAGAGAAAAAAAGATCCAAATGTAAACGTATGAGGAGGATTGTTTTTGTCTCTTCATTCGTATAGCTATATGTGTTTGTATATACGTATCAACAACACCCAAAATAAGCGAAGGTCAGTCAACACACGCACATACACCTCGGACATGTGTTTGCATTGTCAAAATGAACCCGAATGACGATCAAAACAACGATATGATAAAGCACAAATATACATATGCGCATGAAGGTTTTCATGCATAAATATATGTACATAGAGAGAGAGAGACAGACAGATAGATGAATTCTTCTATTGATTTAAGAAAATATACTTACTGAGTATATCAAGAAGAACTTCGTTTACTGTAATATCACCACGTACACAACGATATAAACCTTGATCTTGTTCTTCAACATTAGTGATACGTAAAATTCGTTCTTCACGATCAATACTATCCATTGTAAGAATACTTAGACGACGATCTCGCACTGTTATAACTGAATCAAGACTGACAATATCTGCTCGATCATCACGAATCCAGATGATCTAAACAATAGTAAAACATAAGAAAAATGAATTAAAGATAAAAAAAATGGGAAGAAAATTTCGTGCTGAGCGACTATTAATGAATATGTATATACGTTCACCAGCTGTGTATTGCTCATGATGTCATCGTTATTGTGTACCCCCTGGAAACTGCTTTCACTCATTCTTTTTCTTTTGAACAGTACTATACCATACCAACAATAACAAATTGTACTCAAACATATAAACACTTGTCCCTCCCAGCACTTACCTTTGCAGGATTTGTCGGTTCGATATTTTGACCGATTGAACACGGTAATTCTACAGTACTAGCTAAAGCTACTTGTATTGTTTCTAATTGATCAGTTTGATAAGGTTGCTGAATTAATAAAATATAAATGATAACGACAATAGACAACATTCGATAGGCATCGACGATTGATTACGCAGATAATAGATTAAATAAAACTGATAATTGAACGTTAGACCTTCTTATGGATGCTTCTTCATTTAAATGCACTCATAGTTCAATTCTACAAAAAAAAAAGAAAGAAAAGAAAAGAGGATGAATAGTAACTACTAGTAGTGGACAGTATCAAAAGCGGAAGTTCTTTTCGGCACAATGAATCGACTTTCTTTTTAGGTTATGTATAGTTGTAAGAAGGAGAGAAAAAAAATGAGAGAAGAAATCAAGTTGATTTGTTTCAAGTGGCGAGGATAACTTTTGCTTTTCTTTTTTCTTTCTTTCTTTCTCTTCTGATAGTGAAAGCGAGAGAGAGAGAGAGAGAGACAGAAAGCGAAAGGGAAACAAAGAGAAACATTTTCTTCTTCTTTTCTTTATAGGCTTTATTTTTTGAGTGACAGCATCATAGACCAACGGTCACCCATCCATTCACCTTCTGTCATTCATCACATTTTGCCTCATATCTTAAGTAGGTTTATATACACATATTGCAAATGATCCGCCTTGCTCACTTACACTTTGAAAAAAGCTCGTTAGGCGCACGCGAACATTACATGTCAAATGATGATCGATTCAATGATATATCTATAAAGATAAACATATTTTGCACGTTTGATGACTTCATTAAAAGAAAAGAAATTAAGATTTAAAAAAATAATATATCTGTTCTGTTTTTTTTCAAGTAGGTGATTAATGAGTTTTGTTGCACATTTTTTTTCTTTCTCTCTCGTGTTCCATGATAAGTATCTTTCAAGATTCGATGCATTTTACAATATATATATATGTTCAAAGTAAGAAGACGTGTTCATGGACAATTTAACATGATGTTTCATTTGACTTGGTTGAGATCGGAATTCTATTTCTATTCGTATGAGTAATTGATTTTCGAAGTTTCTTTTTCTCTTATGTGTCTCATCGACACACACGATTCCAATTTGTAGTATGTATACATGTATGTATGTATATCTATATATGTATGATGATGACGACGGCGACTACAACGGAAACTATATGCAAATAGTGATGGCGTTGAGGACGAGCTAATGAGAAAGCGCACAGACGGGAAAAGAATACTATCCTACTCAAATGGACTTAACGAGAAAAACTAAATTGACAAACAAAAAAAAGAAGAAGAAGAAGAAGAAGAGGAAGAGGAAGGGTGGAGACATTACAAGAACCAACTTTTCCGGAAGCTCAATAGACCACACTGAACATCTGGTGAAATGTGTATTCATGCTTTAGATATCGATACAGAACAGCCGTCACTGTTTGTACATTCTTGAATATCGATATCAGAGTAGCAGAGCAGTCGCTTTCAATTCTTACATCATCATTATACTCATCAGACTCAGCATGTCATCAGATCACGTATGAATGTATACGCACGGATAGTCCTTTGTAAATGAAGTTAAAAAAACCAATTTAATACATGTCCACTGTGAATATGTTTGTCATCGATCTGATCGATGATCTCTGTTGATGATGGCAAAAAGAAAAATCTCGCGTTCGAAATGAACCGTTGAAAACAAAGATTGAGACATTATATAGAACACACGTATAGATAATCTTAAACTAGTATAATAAATGAACGCTTATTAATAATTCAAACATATTGCTTCAATTAATTTCTAACCTTGAAATAGAAACTAACAGGAAGGTAGTCGTTTAATATCGATCGTTGTCTTGTCTTTTCATGTCGGTAGAGTTCGTGTGAACAACATCTGTCAGTGTGTGCACACACATCTATATATATATATATATATATCTTTTACTCTCTCTATATATACATTGGTTTGGCTTCATCTAATGTGTCCCGACGGATTAGAGTCGAACCTGTTCGCACACACAACCTGTTTCTTTTTCAATCAGACTGAGGTGTCTGGATGTCACGCGAGAAATGGACAATCGAAATTAGAAAACACTCACGATGCGAACGGAATTTAGTTTTTTTATGCAATGCTTCATTATCATCCTCATCGTCGTCGCTTCATCTATCCATTCTCGTAATGATTCACGTTTGATTAAACGCGTGCAATGTGTTAATTTAATTCGTCGTTTTCCCCTTTTTTCAGTGCCTCGTATTTGGTCTCGTCCTACACATATTTGGTCCATTGTGCTTCGATAATTTCATGTGTAGATGTGTGCTTTATCGTTAGTACTGATTCTATAGATCTTTTCAAGTTAGCGAGCAAAAGAAACGAGTCGGATTGAGTCGATCTTAGTATGACACGATAAGTGTCCACTCGAGTAGAAAAGAAATAGTATTGTCTATAGAATGAAACTGATATGATACCTTGAAAATGCCTTACTTTACTGTTGTGCACACAAGTTGATGCTCATTTTCATTTTCTTTTCTCATTCGCTTTTTGTCGACTTCCCTCTTGAGGTGGTAATTAAGCGAAAAAGAGAGAAAAAAAATGGAATCAACTGCGTGTGCATATGATAGTCAGGCGGAGAATCCTTCAACATGGAATGCCGGTCGACGGAAACAGCGCATACAGAGTAAATAATTGATAATGTTTCGAAAAAGCATCGTTATTATCAATGGGACTATTCGCTTCAATACCCTTACAGAAGAAAATGAACAAGAAAAAAAAGCTAATTTCAAAATATATATACTTTTTTAATAAAAATAATTGAAAATCTACGTTAGCGTTTCGTTGAAAAAAGTATTGCCTACTATTGACTGACTACACATGACAAACTCATTTTCTAATTGCTAAAGTGAAGCATTATAAACAGAGAATATCTTCAAAAGAAACTCGAAGTAGTAGTAGCAATTGTAAGAACAACTAATCGATTGTTAACAGAACGGCTCTAGTAGTCTATAAAGAAATATAATTGTAATCGTAGTAAGAAAAAGTCATTATCTAAACGATGGTAATATAATAGGAATTTGAATATTCCTCACATATGAGCCATTAATAATAGACTCATTATTCGGTTAATCGAGTAAATGTTATTGAATTTTCTTCTCTTCCCATCGGAAATTGATCCTATTAATTTTAAAAATAAATAATTCTACATTCAGCAGGTATTACATTATCTGTTAATTATTATTATTATTATTCTCATATTACATCGGCCATCTGTCAGAGAACGATGACAGCGAAGAATAAATAAATAGTAAGGAAAATCTATCTAACATAATCAAATAGGTTGCGTGCTGAACAAGATATGAATGAATTCTTATATTTCTCTTTGTCTTAATAACGATGTTCATGATTGTATTGCATAAAATCTGATGCTCTTGTCACAATCAATTTGAAAACTTCTCTTTTTCTTCTCATTCAAATTAAATCATCGCACTGTTTATTAAGTAGTAAATTTAGTTTTGATATTTATATAAGAAATAATGATCATAAAGGAGATTTAAATAGATAAGTAGTTCATCGTTTTTCTCTGTGTGTTGTCAACTTTAAAACAATATAAATTACGACATCATTTCATTGACTATACTTATTCGATTTAGCATTGACCAAAATTTCTGTCAAAAATGAAGTGTGTCAGTTAGATGATAATCCGAAATGCTTTACTTATGTTATTTAAAGTATTCATCATTAGGTGATGTTTCTTATGCAATAAATAGCATAAAGAATCTTTAATGTGTCATAAGACACGATAGTGTGAAAAGGGAAATAGCAAAAAGAGCTCATACATCAATTTCGTCTACAGTATTTTATTTGAAGTGGAATTTTATTTATTTTGTTGATAGAAAAAAAAAAGAAAAATATTATTTTTTATAACACGTAATAATTTCTCATATAATGCATTGTGTTAAAATCTCTTACCAACATTTAGTTCGATGATGATGATGATGAAATCTAAATTATAGACGATAGTTCATGTTTTTCTTTTTGACTTTTTGAAATATAACTTAGGCATTGTCTGATGTCGTGAAGATATGGCTTCATTGTTTGTTCATCGGAAAGCTGAATGCAATTCATCGTATTATTCGTCTCAATAGTCGCGGTGTATGAAGAATGAAGTTTATAAATACTCAGATCTTAATTATTTTATCGTATTCGTATGAAAAACTAAGGTAACATCAATTGCCGAGAGGTAAAAAACACAATTTCACAGTATCGAACATCTGTTAAATATTTCTTGTGAACACTTTCTGAAACAACTACTGAAAAAATTTTACTTTACGCCTATAATAAATTTCATGTTAAATTTCTACTTCATATCGAACCTTGGTAACATATTCTCAAGTTTGTTTACTTTAAATTATTGAGGAAGAAGAAATTTTAAAATATATTCATTGAATAGTTCAATCGAAAAAAGAAAGCCTCGTCTACTCATTCTTACTATTTGTCTGGTAAGAAACATTGATTTTCATCTACGTGCATAATGAATGACGTTTATCATCAATCATTCAACTATTTAGACTAATATTGACTAGTATATAGAATAGAAAATGAATAAACTACTAATTATTGATATAGATCAATATCAACGCGACGAACTCCAATCTTCATAGAAGAAAAAATTGCTACAAAAGAATGTTATTCTCCATAGAGGCGTAATAAAATAGAGTTTCTGTCGATTTCTTCGTATATTTTATCATTCTTTTATTTCTCTAATGGCAATTACATTTGTTCATATAAATACGAATGATAAATTTTATCTAATCAATTACAGTGGTGTTTAACAGCTAAGCATTCAGCCAAAAAGAAATAGAAATTACTATTTATTTCACAAATTATTTGTGCACTTTTAGAGAACGCAATCATAATTTCTTTTTTTTTAACCAAAGATTTAACCTTGTTGCTTAAGTTCATGCGTTCACAATGAGACTAATGTCAATATAAGAAAATATCAAAGAAAATTTGCTTTTTAATATTGACGCTTCTTAGATTTTTCTTAGAGAAGAGTAGACTGTGTTACTATTTTATTATTCATTGCGGGTTATTCAAAACGTAGTCTTTTGTAAGTTATTCATACATATTTATGAA